GCTAGCGCAAAGACCGAGCATTTTGCCAGTAGCTGCGCCTCCCATGTACTTCCCCCACTCACACTCACACCCATGTTGGTCATAGACCCTACTAATACCGGCCAGGTGTATCACGTTGCAATCTTCCTTCCGCCCCATAACCTCCGCACCCCCCCTCCCCCAAAGAAAATCTGGTTTGGTGGACTGTCGAGAGTCCTCGTGTGAATGGGCCTCGCTCCACGACTCTAGACTCCCGAAGTTTCGAGAGTAACGCCTCGCTCCACTTACGCTAGACTGGAACTCATGTTAACACCGTTCGAGAGCTGTCAGAAAGCGCTCTCGAAGGGCACTCTCGATTTGTATACAGTTCACAGCCTGCAACGCTCAGGTTTTCTAGCGTCCTCCCTCCTACCCCCGCTCCAGCCTCTTTTTTCGCGAGTGTGCCTCCTGTCCCGACCATCAGAACGAGCTGGCACTGTCATTTAGCGCTATAGAAGGGCTGTCATGTAGCGTTGAGAAATTCGTGAGTGCTTCTGTTGTTCTCACGGGGACCTTTTTTGTTTTTTTCAAAAGAAATAAACTCCTTCCCTTCCCTTTTTTTTTTGTTTTAATAAAAACTCACCCCCACCAGTGCTAGTGATGCTGATAAGAGCAAACACCGCTAGCACCTGGGGGAGGCTCCATCTATTGGTGGGGAGCAACACCTGCTGGAAAACGGGTCTAGCGTCCCATACATGAACAAAAGTCAGAACATAACAACAATACATAGATACGGAGTATTCCTGCCAGCATTGATTACCCTGGGACCCAGGGGATTGACTGAGCAGGATATATTTTTTTTTTTTGGGGGGGGGGRGGGGGAGGAACCTCTTCACCCTGAACCAGGCGCCGGCTACCTGCTGCTACACACTAGGCTCTCCCTCCCCCTACCATTGAGATACCCTTTATTGATGTTGCTGAACTGCTCACACTGCTCCGTGCATGTCCCTTATCCTTCAGTCCCTTGTTCCTCCAAAAAATCCCCATGTGTTTCCCATTACCCAAAGAAATTCTGCTCTACCAGACTCATCAAGGGTGGTGGGAAAGGGTCCGGGAAGTCTGAAGGCAGTCGAAGTACAATTGAGGGGTCAAGATTCGTCCAATCTTGAAAGCAGAACTGGTATTTCCTGGGATTCTTTTTTTTTTTTTTTTTTTTTTTCGAATCTTCTCCCGATGTCTCCCTCCATTTCAATTCCCCCAATTTCCCTCCGTTTGCTCCCCCAACCCAGTTGCCACTGAATTGTTGGATAATTTGTTGGATTTCTTTTGTGGAGTGAAGGGTTGAGATCTGGGGTATCACTGATTCCCACTGTGAGGTAATGTCCGCTTGTACCTGTAGCTTGATAGTGGTCATGCTTCACAAAGGATAGCTCTCCGATCCCACGACCATGGACAGGAAGTGCCAAGTTGACTCCAAATCCTATCCGACCACCTCCATAGCCAGACCGCACCAGGGCATTGCATTAAGATGTGCTCGATTGTCTCCGGGAATTTCCTGGCAGGAAAGCCAGTGGAACAGAATTTGCACCAAGGAAGTGCGAAACCCCTTTGCTCGAGGGACGATTTGTCTATAATCCAGTCGTTAGTTGGTAGGCAGCGGTGGCGCAATGCCTCTTTGCTAACGTTTAATTTGTATCCCTTGGAACCACCTGATTGGGCGTTGTGCCTCTTTGCTGGTTTAGTTGTCTCTTTAGAATCTGCCATTCTAGGGAGGTCACTTTAGCTGGTTTAATTTGTATCCCTTGGAACCACCTGATTGGGCGCGGTGCCTCTTTGTTGACGTTTAGTTGTCTCCTCCATCTATCTTCCACCTGGTCTTTGAGGTTGATCCTTTGTCTTAGCATTCTATAGGTAGATTTGACAGATAAAGTATGTAGGGATACACTAGGCTTTCCTATTGGGTTAGACTAGGTGCAGTAGATAGGATCAAAGGGAAGGTTGGTGATTAGTGTACCTGGTTTAAAAGCCAGCCATTCAGTTTTGTATTGTGTACAACTCTAATCCGGAACAACTGGTTGTCTTGGAACTCTAATATTGGAGGGAACTGGGTCTTTTTTTGACTGATCTCATTGGTTAGCATTACCGAAGGATCTTCGATCCCTGGACCATGCGGCTGAGGGCTCTTTTCTGATCTATGTCGCCGTCTTCTATTCTGTTCCCGTAAGCACTGCGCATGGGGCCTTTACGACTCCCTCGTTTTTTTGCGGCCTCTGCAACGGGTACTTGTTGAAGCAACACAGTTAGGTTTGAGTATTTATCGCTGGTTTTCATAAGCATCGATCTCATTCTTCGCACTGTACAACTCCAAGTTGCTTCGTCCTCCGCCGGCACCGGTCGCGCTAAGTCTGGCACGGTCTATCTTCGACTCTCGTCTTGGGTTTGAGTATTTAAACCACCAGTACTTGGCCCATATATCGGTCGCGGGTCTTAGCATTAACGCTATGTGAAGTTCGCGCTTCGGGCAACCGGACCTGGAAGGCTGGCCCCGCCAGCCTTTCCGGAAACCAAAATGGAATTGGCGTTTCGGCGGGAAACGGCGCGCAGGGCACTTCCAGGCTCGGCTGCGATAGCTGGGCCAAGTACTGGTGGTTTAACACTGGTTTTAGAAGCATCGATCTCATTATTCGGGCTGTACAACTCTAAGTTGCTTCGTCCGCCGCCGACACCGGTCGCGCTAAGTCTCGCACGGTTTATCTTCGGGTCTCATCTATTTTGTCTTCCACCTACTTTCAGTCATTTCCTTATCTCCCTTCCATGCGCAGTTACCCTGGATGATAGAATCTGCTCGACGGATCCTTCTGAAGTACGGCGCTGCATCTACCAGTTCCAAGCTAAGTGCTTAGACAACAGGCGTCGCGGCGACTTCCTTGTTCTTCTCCAACCCCCCTCTTACCTTTCCCTTCCCTCCCTTCCTTCCTCCTCCTCTCCTCTCCTCTCTCTCTCTCTCTCTCTCTCTCTCTCTCTCTCTCTCTCTCTCTCTCTCCTGTCTCTT